AAAGGAAATCCTAAAAAATTATTGTACGAAATCGATAAAAATAAAATTAAAATTGTTGATTTTTTAAAATCAATAATTTTCAAAATTGATTTTCTTGTGAATTAATAAACATGGCATATATTTTCAAAATTGATTTTTTCATTGATGTGATCCTTGCAGTTGGGTGCCCGAAAATGTATAGATCAAAACGATCATATATATATATATATAATAATTCAAGTAATAATTATATTATGTATGAGTTGTGTTTGGCAATTTATGGCCACGGACAAATGAGTTGAACAAATGCAAAGCCCTCGACGGTTGTGAATATGGCACCATGTGAGTTGCCCCTCTAACTGTTGCAAATGTTAACAAATTTCCATACGTTGTGGTCCAACCTCCAACCTGTACATTGTTACTCGAAAATGAAACTGCAGTTAGTATTATATATATTTAAGTGCATATGTTACCAAAAATAAATAAAAGTTTATCCGAATTTTAATGGAAAATATGCTACTTTTGGGATGAAATTTTGATAGGAATTAAGTCAACAAAAAATGGTGTGTTGATGCATGCAACGTTGATTTTAAAGTTGATGTGATGTATAAAGAAACAAGAAATTCCTGCCTGTGTCAAAAAGAAAAGAAGAATTTGCATGGAAAATTACTTTATAATAAGTTTATTGTCGCAAAATTTTATTTCCGCATGAAAGTTTTGAGAAACGTATAGAACGAGCATATATATGTATACCTGTCCTTTGTAAAACCAAGCTCTATATGTGTCCGATATATTAAATTTGAGATTGTTGGCTAGTTCGCGTGCAATCCTTTGCGTGCCGAGGAATGGCACGGTTGAGTCTTGGTCTCCACTGATTAAGAATTGCAATATATTTACATAAAGTTTGTGTGTAAGTTAATTGTTGATGCATGGTTAATTAGATGAAGAGTTCATATTATTACACTAGTAACATGAACATGAAATATATTACCTGTAAAGGAAAATTGGAATGTTGTTCTTCAGAATCTCTTTGAGAAAAGGAGTCATGTCAATATCTTCATTGGTTATGTTATAATTTAAGACACTGCACATAATGTTAATTAAATCAACACCTACCAATAAAAAGCTTCCTAAAATATCTAGTATATTTAATATATAATCAGTTAGATGAGAGTGTATTAATGTAATGTCGCCGCCATACTAGAATTTTCTTTTAGGTAGTATAAATTTGGACATTGTGTATGTAGTGTGTGCAGAGTGATAAAAACAAAAGATAAGAAAGAAAAGAGTGAATTTGTATATTGTGTGCTGAGTGAGAAAATATAATAAACAAGTGAGGTGTGTGCTTGTGGTGTGAGTGCTTACATATAATATTGTGAGTTGTGAGATTTGTAATAAATTATTTGTATAATAAAATCATTTTGTTGAGTTACTCTTAAGTATATTGGCCCATTTATTTCAAACACGTAGTATCAGAGCCACGTCTAGAAAGTTCAAGCTCGTGCCAATTTATTCAGGGCTCATCACTTGCCGTCAACAAGGGGGAGATTATTGAGTCTAAAGTCATCGTGCACAATTAAAAGAAATTGTGAAGCGCGTCAGGCTTGCTTTGTTACGAAGAGGTAGTCCAAATCACGATGGCGGATCTACAATCAGTAGGTGGAATGGAGAAACTCAATAATCAAAATTACACCACTTGGAGGACATGCATGGAGTCGTATCTCCAAGGCCAAGACCTATGGGAAATTTTTGGCAGAGAAGAGTCCACACTACCGGAAGAAGCCGGGGCCTTACGTAAATGGAAGATAAAGGCAAAAAAGGCCATGTACGCACTCAAGACGACTATTGACAAAGAGCTGCTGGAGCACATACGAGATGCAAGCACTCCAAAACAAGCGTGGGACACTCTGGGAGTGTTATTTTCCAAAAAGAATGAGTTCAAGCTACAACTTCTCGAGAACGAGCTCCTATCACTCAAACAAGGGGAGATGACCGTACGCGACTACTTTAACAAGGTACGAACTCTTTGTCGCGAAATCTTTGAATTGGACCCCACTGATAATGTTTCAGAAGCTAAGATGAGAAGAATCATCATTCATGGCTTAAGACCCGAATTTAGCGGGATAATAGCCGCTTTACAAGGTTGGTCTGAACAGCCTTCTTAGGTAAATCTTGAAAATATACTAGCCGACCAAGAAGCGCTGACCAGACAAATGGCGGAAGTCTCATTAAAGAAGAAGATGAAGCTTTATTATGTTATAGAAAGAATATGAGACCACGCCAACAAAATAAAAGAGACAAAAATGAATATATTAAAAATGAAGAAAGAAGTTCTGAAACAAAGGGGGTCCAACAAGATCGTTATAAAAAATATCAGACGTCCAAGGGGAATGAAAAGGGCCCGTGCTACGTATGTGGCAAGCCGAATCACTATGCCAGAGACTGCATGCATAGGAAAAAGTTGTTGAAGGGAATATAGCAATGTCCAACAACTAAGAGACTAACAACAGCGAAGAAGAGTGGGACATAGAGGCATCCATGGCGATAGTCGAAGAGATTGTCCTAACTATATCTGAGAAGACCTGTAAAGATTAGCATCAGGCTTAAACGAAGAGACGACATTGGCTGCCGTTGTCCCTGGATGAATAGATTATGAGAATGATTGGATCGTGGACTCAGGATGCTCCAATCATATGACATGAGACAAAGAAAAGTTGCAGAACACAACTGAATACAACGAAGGTCGAATGGTTGTCACTGCTAATAATATAAGGTTGTCAATAGCCCATATTGGCAAGACGGTCATCACTCCACGGTTTAGTCCTGGTCAAGTGCAACTGCAGGACGTCTACCATGTCCCAGGTATGAAGAAAAATATTCTATCAGTATCACAACTGAAAACTTCGGGGAATTATGTTATTTTTTGACCCAATAACGTTAAGGTGTACGAAAATCTCAAAATTATCGGTAAACCGATCATGGAGGGTCGAAAGCTCGAGTTCATCTACGTAATGTCAGCAGAGTCTTCTTATGTAGATAAGACTTGAAAGAATGAAGCAGCTGACTTATGGCATGCGAGACTGGGACATGTGAGTTATCATAAGCTTAAGGTGATGATGAAGAAATCAATGTTGAAGGGTCTCACTCAACTGGAGATAAGAGATAACACAATATGTGCTGGATGTCAATATGGTAAAACACATCAACTACCATTTGAATATTCAAGCTACAGAGCAACGAAGCCTCTAGAGACAATTCACTCTGGCATATTCGGGCCAGTTAAACAACCTTCGATCAGCGGAATGCAATATATGGTGACATTTACTGATGACTTCTCAAGGTACGTCTGGGTATTCTTTATTAAATAAAAATCAGAAGCATTCACAAAGTTTAAAGATTTCAAAGAATCTGTTTAAAGAGAAGTCGAAGATAAGATCCAGTGTCATCGCACGGATAACGGGGGAGAATACACATCAAGAGAGTTCTCCCAATTTCTGAAGGAGCATAAGATACACCATCAGCTGACGTGTCCAAACACACCTCAGCAAAATGGCATAGCAGAAAGGAAAAATCGACATCTAGCAGAAACGTGTCGAAGCATGATACATGCAAAGAACGTACCGGCGAGGTTCTAGGCAGAATGTATGAAGACGGCGGCCCACGCAACGCTGGGAGTCATGTCACCATTCCAAAAGCTATGGAAAATCAAACCAACTGTTAGCCACTTCAGAGTTTTCGGGTGCGTCTCTTACGTGTTTGTACCAGGTCATTTACGGAGCAAATTTGACAAGAAGGCAATTAGATACATATTCTTGGGATATGACAGTCAAAGAAAAGGGTGGAGATGTTGCGATCCATCAACCGGTCGGTGTTACACATCACGCAACGTGATATTTGATGAAACATCTTCTTGGTGGACACCGCAGAAGTCAGAGTTACCAGATCAAAAGAAATCGAGGATAAGCTCTAGAAATGGGTGAAACTTCCAGAAGCAACTCATAAAATGGAAGAATCAGACGAGGAAGGGGAGTCACAAAGAACAACTCAAAGTCCGTGGCAAACCAGTGTACATGAAGTAACTCCAGAATTAATGAGGCCAACTCAACTCGAGGAGATTGAGCCACCAGGAGAGGAATGAGGTGAAGTACCGACAAGTCCACAACAACTACAGAGATCATCCAGACAAAAGAGGCAAAATCCCAGGTACGCCAATATAGCCTTAGAAAAAGATACAAGTATAAATGAGCCACAAATATTTGAGGAAGCAATTAAATATAAAGAATGGATAAAAGCGATGAATGAGGAGATAATGGCTCTAAGGCAAAATGAAACATGGGACTTAGTACCCAAACCGGATGGAGTTAAACCCATATCTTGTAAATGGGTTTATAAAATAAAAAGGCGGCATGACGGATCAATTGAAAGATATAAAGCTCGGTTTGTTGCACGTGGATTCTCACAACAGTACGGGCTAGACTACGACGAGACATTTATCCCAGTAGCAAAAATCACAACAGTTCGAGTACTGATTGCACTAGCAGCAAGCAAATCCTGGAAATTATAGCAGATGGACGTGAAGAATGCATTTTTACATGGAGAGCTCGACAGAGAAATAGACATGGTCCAACCTGCGGGGTTCGAGGATTAGGAGAATCTAGGCTACGATTGCAAACTAAAAAAGTCCATATACGGGTTAAAGCAGACACCACGAGCATGGTACGGTAAGATCGCTGAATTCTTGATTCAGTGTGGATACTCTGTTGCACCAGCAGACTCGAACCTCTTCGTTAAGAAACGAGAAAGAAAACTAGCAATATTGCTAGTATATGTAGATGATATCATTATCACTGGAGACAATGAAGAAGAAATCCAACAAACCAGGAAGAATTTATTGGTAAGATTCCAAATGAAAGAGCTTGGAGAACTTAAGCACTTTTTGGGACTTGGGCTAAAAGAAAAAAGGCGACGGTCTTTTATTGTGTCAGTCAAAATATGCTAAAGATCTATTGATAAAATTTGGCATGATTGACTGCAAGCCTTTACCGACTCCAATTGAAGCAAACGCCAAGATATGTGCTCAAGATGGAAAAGACTTGGAGGATGCAACTATGTACATGCAGCTGGTCGGAAGCCTAATCTACCTAACCCTAACACGGCCAGACATTTCATATGCAGTGGGGATAGCAAGTCGATTCATGGAGAAACCAAAGAAGCCACATCTTGAGTTAGTCCGACGTATATTAAGGTATGCAAAAGGATCAATTGACTGTGGACTTTTCTATCAAAGGAATAAAGATATAAAATTTGTTGGCTATTGCGACGCGGACTATGTCGGATGTCGTGATACGAGAAGATCCACTACTGGGTATGTGTTCAAGTTTGGGTCGGCTGCAATATCTTGGTGTAGCAAAAGGCAACCGACAGTGACCCTATCAACAGCAGAGGCCGAGTACCGAGCAGCAGCAATGGCAGCTCAGGAAAGCACATGGCTTATGCAATTATTATAAGATCTACATCAGCCATTTAGCTATGCGGTACAACTATATTGTGATAATCAATCCGCTATACGCATAGCAGAAAATCACGTATACCATGCGAGAACAAAACATGTCGAAGTACACTATCATTTCGTTAGAGAAAAGGTGCTTAAAGGGGAGATAGAGATGAAGCACGTTGGTACGGAAGACAAAGTAGCCGACGTGTTTGCCAAAGGACTCAATCTTTCAAAATTCGAAGAGTTCCGAACACGTCTTGGAATGGTTCGAGAAGAAAACAAAATTCGAGAACAAAGGATCATAAGTAGGTGTTGAGGGGGAGTGTTAATTAAATCAACACCTACCAATAAGAAGCTTCCTAAAATATTTAGTATATTTAATATATAATCAGTTAGGTGAGAGTGTATTAATGTAATGTCACCGCCATACTAGAATTTTCTGTTAGGTAGTATAAATATGGACATTGTGTATGTAGTGTGTGCAGAGTGATATAAACAAAAGATAAGAAAAGAGTGAATTTGTATATTGTGTGTGAGTGAGAAAATATAATAAACAAGTGAGGTGTGTGCTTGTGGTGTGAGTGCTTACATATAATATTGTGAGTTGTGAGATTTGTAATAAATTATTTGTATAATAAAATCATTTTGTTGAGTTACTCTTAAGTATATTGGCCTATTTATTTCCAACACATAATAGTTTGAGTCCATTTTTAGTTACATGTGCAGTTTAATCTTCTTTCTTAATTCTGAGTTAATTTAAAGCCAATTTCATGTTTACTTGGCTAATTAACTATCCATTCATATAGACTTACTTACTGCAGTCGGACCAATTGTATCGTAAATTGGTACGATTTGCATGTAGAGCCTTTTGAACCTCGGGCAAGTTTAAGTAAAAGGATGTTTCGTACATCCTGCAAATGTCGATTCCATAACTCATCTTTGTCGCCTGCCAAAATTAAAATAATTAAATCCTTGACTAAAGTCTAGCTAGGTTGTAATATTATGGTTTAATTAATTTCCATAATTTTATTTTATGAATTTTGACTAACAATATAAAAACAATATTTGAAATCAATACCATCTTTCTGAGTCGCAATTCTTGCTCGACTATGGATGGATAGCACTCGTCGTAAATGACACCATAAATGTCAACATGGTTGCTAGCAATCTCGTATGACTCGTCCAAGTCATCGTAACATTGATATTGACTCTCATTCCTCGTACCCACAAACGAATAACTCGAAAAATCACAATCTTTTCTAATGGTGTTTTCTAACTCGTCTGAGATCAACCCGTGCGACCACAAGAACTCGTACATCGCTGGGACGTCTCGGTCGACTCTGAGCAGTGGGTTTTCAAGATGAATGAGAGACGCAAATTAAATTAAAGGGTTTGTTAGTTTAGTTACATTACGACTAGAATTAATCGATGCAAATTATTTGAAGGAAATTTTAAATTTTGATCCTCTAAGTTGACCAATAATTCCTCATTATATATTAAATCAAAACATGTTGATCCTAAGTGGCAGACTCGCGCGCTTCGAATGCTGACATGACGAAAATTTTGCTCCGTGTTGTTGTTTGTGTATTCATTTTTGCTCTAGTCTATTAAGCGACTTACCATGATCCCTTTAAGATTGAAAAGCATGTCCGGTCTATGTGCATTGTGCTCAAGAAGAAGAATGGCTAATTCAGGAATGTAATGCCCTACACACAAAAAAAAAAAATAATAAAAAAAAAATAAAAAAAATAACATACATGTTTATGAAAAAATAAAAAATAAAAATGAAGGTTTATTGTTGACTATTAATTAGACTTTGGAATATTTTTATAATAATTAATTGAATTTCGTCACCTGCATAACTTTCTCCTGTCAAAAACAAGTCGCGGGTTCTCAATGTTGGGAATTTTGTGAACCATTCAAGCATGAACATGAGCATGTCCTTTGCTGTCAAATGTCAAAATATTAGACTTTTTAGAAGAAAAAAAATGAATAGATGATAAAATAAGTTCAAACTGCCTTTAATTGTTTGAATATGATAATAATTACTCAAATTCATGTATAAGGCGACCTAACTGTCAGGCGAATCGACACGTTGTAATTAATATCATACTTTAATTTTTATACCATGATATTTCAATTTGAAATTATGCATATTTATTGAAAAATAGTATAGATAAATTATAATTGTTCCACTTCATTTTATAAATTACAATTGGGGAAGCATTTTGTTACCAGTGGAATTATCATTTGTATTGTAGTCTGAGGTTTTGTTGGAATATGACCATCCCACCCCAGCTGGAGACTCAACAAAGAGAAGATTTGATGCTACAAAAAATAAAGCCAATAAATAAATAAATACTTGGAAAATGTGAGCCAATTAAAAATTTCTTAAATAAAATTATAAAAATATGCTAATTAAATAAAATAGCAAAGATAAGTGGAGTTTTTTTTTTAATTTAATTTGGCTAATTTATTTTGAAAAATTTTAACAAATAAGTACCTTTATTCCAAGATTTTGTATTTCTCACTAGTCCTCTGCCATCACTTGTGGGTATAAAGGGACCTAATTCCGTGAAGGCTCCACCTCCAATTGATGAGCAACCAGAGCCTTCAAAATAATAATAATAATAATAATAATAATAATAATAATAATAATAATAATAATTAAAAAAACATTAAATAAAATAATGTACACAATTTAAAGAATAACTCCAACAATAATATAAAAGAAAATATATTTTTTTTATTGCATAGTTGAAAATTGGAATACCATAATAATTAAAAAAAAATCAATTTGCTAAGTGAAATTAATTAAAGAACAAGTAAAATTAAAATCACCTCCATTTAACCATAATGCGAGGGGCTTATCATCGGGATTTTGCTCAGCCTCCACAAAGTAGTAAAATAAACTCCTTCCATTGTTCATATTAACATCTACGTACCCTGCAAACTGCCTAAATGTCACATTTGGCTGACCTGGCAATGCCTCGACGAGATCCTCCGCCGGAAAGCCATAACCACCGTCGACCACCAGTCCTGCCGCCACAACTGCCACCGCCACCACCCCATAAACCCACCTCAATCCCATATCACGGTACGTAGTAAAAGAAAGAAAAAAAAAATAAAAATAAAAATAACCCTTCTGAAAAAGAGATGGTTATCTGAAGCTTAATTTAGAAAGAATTGATGGGTTCGAGATATATTACACACCAGCAAAACATGGATAATTAAATAGTTAATTTTAGCATGATGAAAAATTATTATATTATTAAAGAAAAAAAAACAAAATTGACCACGGTAAAACCTGAAGATTAAAAATAAATAATTTATTGATTTGTAATAAAACATGGATACACGTCTGCTCACTCATGATGATCACCAGACTAATCAACTCTATCTACCTACGCTAAGTTCACATTTTCACATACAAATATAAGTCGGTGCTCTAACCTTAATACAACATTAGTCAACTTAATTTGATGATTTTTCTTTCAACATATCAACATGCTTTCCAAGCTTTCTACATTTAGTACAACTAAATGGTCAACACTTGTGACAGTTGGAAACACTTACTCAAACGCATGCAATAGTCCATTTGAATGATTAATTAATATTTGGTGTTAAATTAAGAATAGACTTGTGTGAATAAACCAATCGAGCTAATTTGAGGCGCACGGCTTTGTTCTTCAGTATACGACAGCAAGCAACTGAGCCCGTCATGTTGAATAGCCATGAGCATGACCCATCTCACTGCCTCCAATAACTAGCCCTTCAAACACCCCCGCATACCAGATGTTATTCTCCAACTTCAGATCAGGTTCACCATTCTTCTGAATTGTTAGAAATTTGGTGTAAAATTACACGGGAATCCTACGAACTGATATGTATTTTCAGTTCTTACAAATAATCTAAAAATAGAAAATTACAATTGAACTGAAAAATAAAATACAACTGAAAAAACGGAAAGATTTTAGCCGAGGCGAGTAAAACAGCGTGTCCTGTTTGGCTTGAATATTCAAAAGCATGCGCTTTCCGCAAGAAGAATACGCCCCGTGTGGCAGCTAACGGTTCAGGCGTAACTTCCCCAAAGATACAACGGAAAACGTCTCTAAATCTGTAGCACACCAGATTTACGAGCTCCAGCGAACGGGAACGGAGTCGAGAATTGAGCACTAAAAAATAAAAGGAATATCTTAAAACAAATAAAAATATCACGTGTTTCTCTCTTTTGATATTTTTATATCCGATATTTGGACATAAATCTATCTTTTTTTTTCCTTTCTCTTTTCCTTTCTTTCCTTTCTTTTCCACTATTTGGTGCCCTTTCTTCAATCTGGCCGAGGCCCTTTTATAGGGAGAGTTTGAGCAAGTTGTCAATATGCCAATAGCATGTTAGTGCAGGAATCTTCACCATGTTAGTGGGGCCTTTCACATGATTTATACTCATATTCTAATATGAATAACACAGGACAAATGCAGAAGTTTCCTTGAGGAGTATTCATGAGCACTGACAGTGATTAACCACTACCTTACTCTACTGGAAAAATTCTCCTCAGGAGTATATTCTGATTATGAAATCTAGAAACAGTATTGTGCTTCAACCTTGCAACAACATCCCCAAACTCCATTCGTCCGACAGCCGGCCAGTGGGGTTGTCGGGTTGCTCGACTGTGGGCATCTTAGGGAAGTGCTTCTGGGGGTCATGTCTCAGAGCCTCTGGTAGGTTTTGTGGTGGCTCCCCCTATTCCCCGGTGATGAAGTTCATCGTAGTTCAGATGTGGACTAAGAACGACCTTCTCGCAAGATCTGTCTACGCGGTCCATGCTCGACAGCAGTTTTCGGGTTTTGGAGTTTAGGTTTGTTGCTCTGTTGGGTTCATTTTTGCGGTATATGGGAGTCGATTGCAAGTTTGGTTGGTTGTGGAGGTTAGATTTAGGAAGATGTTTTCTTCTACTTTGTTTATTAGGTGTGTGTAGTGCGCCGTTTTTAGTTTATTTGTTTTTCTTGTTTCGTCAAGTCCAGTTGTACTAACCAAGGTGGAAATTTTGCCACAACCAATCTTAAGACCTGGAAAAGGGTATCTGCAAAAGAAGGGAGAATACAGAGATCATCAGAGGATAACTGGGTGCAAACAAATCACGGAAACAAGAGAGGTAGAACTAGACTGGTAATCCAAACTATTGATGGAGATCATGAAATGGAAGAAAGCACAAGTTTGAAGAGAATAAGGAATAATGAAGAGAAAGTGGAGAAGGTCAGCCAAAAATGGCCTGAAGTGAACCATGAGAACCTTAGTGTGGAACTGTAGAGGTCTGGGTAGACTATCTACAGTTTTCCAAATCAAGGAGTCCCTAAGGACCCACCACCCACATTTTGTGTTCATATCAAAAACAAAAAATACAAATGGTTTTGTTTTTTCTATTTTTAGAAGGTTGGAAGAGACGTAAAAAAAAATAATAAAAAAAAGGCAAAAGAAAGGCATTTTGAGCTTAAAAAATGCCAAATGTCAGACCTACAATGCCTCACGTTTTTTCTTATATGTTTAGAAGAGATATTGCTTAGGGCACCCATGTGCTGGCACTGACCGTAAATTTTTCCAACTTAAAAACTTGTTAAGGTTGTGCCTTTTAATAGTCGTTGAACCCCAATTTTAGGCATGTTCATTTTACAAATTTCAGTAGCTTTATAGTCATGAATCAATAAATGGGGATCTAATACCCAATGTTGTATGAAATCCTCGGATAAATGTAGGATGGACCACAAATTATGTGATAATTTAGAAACAGAGTATGAAAAGGAAAACTCAATTTACTAGTATCGAGGCGTCATCAATTCATCCACGTTCTTGAAAAGAAAACCAAAAAATACATTTATAATCAATAGGCAAGGTGGGAGTAGGAAAAAAAAAAAGCATTCTCTCTCTATCGAAAAAAAACACCATTTTAGAGAAGGAAAACCTAATTGTCCGCTGCCACCCCCTCATTTACCGTCAGCCAACCCCACGCCCAGCGGGCCGACTTAAGCCACGTCACGGTCGGGGTTCCCTTTTCTGCCCCCTTAGAATCCGGTGAGTGTATTGGTCGGCGGCGATTCTTGTCGCTTTGCCAATCTCCTTGGCTTTGGAGGGGGTCTCGACCGACGTGGTTTAATCCTTTTCGTGGGTGTTCGTCGGCTAACCGGAGGATTTGGTCTCGCGCATCTCAGTTCTGATACATGGAGTGGTGCAACCAGCCAGTCTTCAGCCTCTAGCGGTCCGACGATCCGCCCGACAGCCGGCCAGTGGGGCTGCCGGGTCGCTCGACTGTGGGCATCTTAGAGAAGTGCCTCTGTGGGTCATGTCTCCGAGCCTCTGGTAGGTTTTGTGGTGGTTCCCCCTCTCTCTTCCCCGGTGATGAAGTTCATCGTAGTTCAGATATGGACTAAGAATGGCCTTCTCGCAAGATCTGTCTACGTGGTCCATGTTCGACAGCAGATTTCGATTTTGGAGTTTAGGTTTGTTGCTCTGTTGGGTTCATTTTTGCGGTATAGGACTCGATTGCAAGTTTGGTTGGTTCTGGAGGTTAGATTTCGGAAGATGTTTTCTTTTACTTTGTTTATTAGGTGTGTGTAGTGCGTCGTTTTTAGTTTATTTGTTTTTCTTGTTTCGTCATGTCCAGTTGTACCTAACCAAGGTGGAAATCTTGCCACAACCAATCTTAAGACCTGGAAAAGGGTATCTGCAAAAGAAGGGAGACTACAGAGATAATCAGAGGATAACTGGGTGCAAACAAATCACGGAAACAAGAGAGGTAGAACTAGACTGGTAATCCAAACTATTGATGAAGATCATGAAATGGAAGAAAGCACAAGTTTGAAGAGAATAAGGAATAATGAAGAGGAAGTAGAGAAGGTCAGCCTAAAATGGCCCTGAAGTGAACCATGAGAGCCTTAGTGTGGAACTGTAGAGGTCTGGGTGGACCCTCTACAATTTTCCAAATCAAGGAGTCCCTAAGGACCCACCACCCACATTTTGTGTTCATATCAAAAACAAAAAATATAAATGATTTTGTTTTTTCTATTTGTAGAAGGATGGAAGAGACGTAAAAAATAAAAAAAAAATAAAAAGGCAAAAGAAAGGCATTTTGAGCTTAAAAATGCCAAATGTCAGACCTACAATGCCTCACGTTTTTTCTTATATGTTTAGAAGAGATATTGCTTCGGGCACCCATGTGCTGGCACTGACCGTAAATTTTTCCAACTTAAAAACTTGTTAAGGTTGTGCCTTTTAATAGTTGTCGAACCGCAATTTTAGGCATGTTCATTTTACAAATTTCAGTAGCTTTATAGTAATGAATCAATAAATGGGGATCTAATACCCATTGTTGTATGAAATCCTCATATAAATGTAGGATGAACCACAAATTATGTGATAATTTAGAAACAGAGTATGAGAAGGAAAACTCAATTTACTAGTATCGTGGCGTCATCAATTCATCCACGTTCTTGAAAAGAAAACCAAAAAATACATTTATAATCAACAGGCAAGGTGGGAGTAGGACAAAAAAAACACTTTATCTCTCTATCGAAAAAACACCGCCACCCCCTCCTTTACCGTCAGCCAACCCCGCGCCCAACGGATCGGCTTAAGCTATGTCACAGCCGGGGTTCCCTTTTCTTCCCCCTTGGAATCCGGCGGGTGTATTGGTCGGCGGCGAGTCTTGTCGCTTCGCCGATCTCCTCGGCTTCGGAGGGGGTCTCGACCGACATGGTTTAACCCTTGTCGTGGGTGTTCGTTAGCTAGCTGGAGGATCTGGTCTCGAGCATCTCAGTTCGGATACATGGAGTAGTGCAACCCGCCAGTCTTCAGCCTCGAGCGGTCTGACGATCCGCCCGACCACCGGCCAGCGGGGCTGCCGGGTCGCTCGACTGTGGGCATCTTAGGGAAGTGTCTCTGTGGGTCATGTCTCCGAGCCTCTGGTAGGTTTCGTGGTGGCTCCCCCTCTCTTCCCCGGTGATGAAGTTCATCGTAGTTCAGATATGGACTACGAACGGCCTTCTTGCCAGATCTGTCTATGCGGTCCATGTTCGACAACAGTTTTCGGTTTTGGAGTTTAGATTTGTTGCTCTGTTGGGTTCATTTTTGCGGTATGGGACTTGATTGCAAGTCTGGTTGATTCTGGAGGTTAGATTTAGGAAGAGGTTTTATTCTACTTTGTTTATTACGTGTGTGTAGTGCGCCGTTTTTAGTTTATTTGTTTTTCTTGTTTGGTCAAGTCCGTGTAAGATCAATTCTTCCTTCCTTCTCGGATTGAAATACCAATCGAAAGACTGATCTCGGGCTCTAAGCCTACAGACCCGGTTGTGCCATCCATTGCACCAGATTCTGCTCCTGCTCCGTACGTCAACTACATCCAAGTTCCTTCCCCCGCCCCGGTTTGAGTGTCAGTGAGGGAAGGCCAAAGAGAGCAACGTCTTCGACGGTGCAACTTGTATTGTACCTAGTCTCCTTTTGGAGATAGTGTCTCCTTTATGGAGTTCTGTTTCTGTCGTTGTGTGTTTCTCATTGATGGGATTCTGAAAACTCATTGATGGGATTCTACCCCCTTCGTCGCTTGTGCAATTCCAAAGAAGATTGGTCCAGGTTTACTGGAACTTAGGTTTACTCCAGTTCCAGTGGTGTCCCTTGACACTTTGTATGTATTTTATTGAGTTTTCAGTTATTAAGTTATTAATATATTTACCGTTTGGAAAAAAAAAAAAAAAAAAAGCCAGATGACCAACTTCATATGTTCATTTACCAATTAAAACTGATAATAATTTATAATTTAATAACAAATCTAATGTACTCGAACACAACAAATTCTAAAGATGAACAAGTGAAAGATGAGGATCCGCTGTCAAACTCCAACCACACTTGCTATTAAGGGGCTAAAGCCCTAAACACCATCTTACCCAAAAACTGGGGAAAGAAGTCAACTAGTAGAAATGTGAAACATAATTGCAAGATTACACACTTCACAATGATGAAAATACAGGGAAGACGCGCAATTGTGAATCAAGGATCTGTCTTTTGAGAACGCTCCACATATGCCTGCACGATATAACACATATAAATACCGGAGCAAACAAAAAACAATGGATAATTACGAACACTCCAATGCTTAATCACGAACACACTCGATCAATCAGTTATAATGGGATATTCATGATTTCAGAATATAGCTCAAATTCTTTTAAGCTGGAGGCATCTAAAATTTACCTGAACAAGTTTGACGATTTTGGGTTTTGAGAACGACAGGTACTGATCAACTTTATCCTGCGTCTTGGGGATGTGATCGGGTTGAACTGTGCTGGTCACTTTGTCGACCACTTTTTTCACAATGGTCTTGTGAACTTCTCTACTCAGTCGGCCTTCTTTCCATGTGGGCTTCAAGATGTCCTTCACAAACTCTATTAGACCATTTTTAAACAAGCGCATTGCTTTCTCATCCTTGCTTGCAACTTTCACTTCAGCTTTTTTGTCGTTCTCGGCTCCCTTGTTCTCCTCATCAACAGCTTTATAACCTTCATCAGCTCCTAGGTTCGTGAGTGGTGCCTCTTGCTTATGTTTTGAATTTTCAGAATCATCCACTTGTGAATTCTCCCGGACTTTAACAATGGTGGACAGTGGAGACGATTGTTTCACCTGCATTTGATTGTATTGTTCGGTACAAGTTCCATGCTCGCTGGCAACTGTGTCTTTCTCCACGGGATTAATTGGTTCATGAGGAAATCCTGGAATAGTTACCTGTGATGAATATAAATTGAGCTGTTTGTTAACACAATGGATTAATTGTAAAAACCACCTGAGGTTTAGCCTAGTTAAATGAGAAGAAAATTTGGTATTGTACAAACAGAAATAAGCATTTTTTTTTTTTGGGGGGGGGGGTTGTTTCTGTTCTACACTTGCATCCTCAACAGGGGCATTTGTCAGGAATATAAATGGTCAAGGGCGTGGTTGTAGTGCATGCTCAAGGCAGCATTGGTGATTCTCAAAGATTACTGGATTTCCTTTAGTAAGTTTGCTAATTCTCATGGATTGATTAGTCATATCACTGGCGAACAAAAGAAAAGATTGTGAAACCTTTGATTCTAACAGCCCCGTTAAGATTTGAACAGCTCGCTGATGGTTCGGCATCTGAGACTGCAAGTCCAAATGAGCTTCTGATTGTGTCTCGAGAAGATGACTCTTCGCCTGAGAATCCAAATCCAAACGAGCTCCAAATTGTGGCTCGGGTAGATGGTTCTTCACCTGAGAATGCAAATCCAAATGAGCTCCAGGTGTCTCGAGATGATGGTTCTTCACCTGAGAATGCAAGTCCAAACAAGCCCCTGATTGCGTCTCGAACTGATGGTTCGGCGCCTGAAATTGCAAATCCAAATAAGCTCCTGAATTTGTCTCAGGTAGATGGTTCTTCACCTGAGAATGCAAATCCAAATGAGCTCCTGGTATCTCGGGATGTTCGTTCACCTGAGAATGCAAATTCAAATGAGCCCCTGATTGTGTCCCGAGCTGATGGTTTGGCACCTGAGAATGCAAATCCGAACGAACACCTGATTGTGTCTCGGGCTGATGGTTCGGCATCTGAGAATGTAAATCCAAATTAGCTCCTGCTTGTGTCTCGAGCGCATCCAGGCCACCACTAAGCATGTTCTGCCAGACATCAGTTGCATTTGAAACAGACAACTGCTCAGGTACTAATAAATGTTCACTGCTTTGATTTTGTCCTGGAAAAGGAAATGGGTGTATGGGATTGCTCGAATTTTTAACCTCATCAACAACATCAGACCTAAATGAAGTCGCCACACCATTTTCTACTATCCCATGGTCAAGCGATGTATTTTGTTCTTGAACACTCACATTTTCCACTTCATTTTGCTGTGGGAAACCATGCAACATACTATTGTTTTCCTGTTTGTTAGATATATTTTCCTTATCAATAGATTCGGTCATGCCTATGTCTCCCAATTCTCGTGTTCTCCAACTTGCTTCCTCGTTTTCCACACGAAGAGACAATCTAGTATCATATCTCGAATTACTGTTGTCACCTGGATTGCCTGTATCGGCAGTCTCATTTGACACAAGCTGGTGAGAAAATCTGCAAGAATCACCCCATTTACACCAACCTTTCACGAAGTCCCTGCAAGGAATTGCATTTCTACTTTTCTTCCAAAAATGTTCTCCCTCTCCATGATAATGACTGGGAACGTCATCCCGTAAATCAGAACCAGCGAATTTGCTGTAAGAATCTTTAGAAGTATGCCCACGACTGGTATTTCTAGAGTGATCAAATCGGCATTGGCTACCTTTCCTGCACTTCCCAGCAGAAAAATCACGGCAGATTTGAAAATGTCTATCAGGTTCACTTCTTTGGTCACTCCATTTATGAGATTGATTTTTATAATCTTGTCTTGGACTAACACTTCTGGCCCGACCTCTTGGACTTCTGCTTCGACTCCTGCTCCTGTCTTTTCTCGGGTACCTGTTATGAGAGAATAATTAAACATCAGGTCTACAAGAATTCATAAGTTGCAACATGAACTTTTTCCTAAAGTGTATTGTATTTCCTTTTTTAGCATGGCAATATAAGATTTAAAAAGTTGAAACCAGTTTTGTCAAGGACCAACTGGTAATAGGGTACAATGCTAAATTTGGCAACAGGTAGAAAAAAATGACTTTTTAAAGTGTCATCAAATTAAAAAAGAGAAGCACGCAAACACTTGAAAAAATCCATGTCTTCTCCAGAAAACACAAAACTATCATGAACACCCAAATTTCAAACATTACAGCTTTCCAACTGTTATGTCATTCGGTTTCAAATGTAACAGATTATAAGACAGACCTGTGGGAATCGCTTCTGTCGTCTTCAGGGTAGTGCTTATATTTACGCCGTTCAATTCCATCAAACCCGGGAGATATGTTCGGGTAATATCTGTTTTCTTCGTTTAACTCGCGAGATGGCCGTCCAGGACGGTCTCTGGATTTAGGCTCCATAAATTCTCTGGACCCACGAAATTCATGATCCCGTCCTCGGTTATTAATCGAATGGCGCTCCTTGCTGGCCCAAGAATTATGATCATCTGGATGAGAAAATTGTCTATTCTCATCTTCCATATGCCACATAGATTTTCGTTTTCTCCTTTCACCCATAACGTAATGTGTGCCAATGAAAAGCCTGAGCAATTCTGGGTAGTGCAGCCAGATCTGTTCAGTTCAAGCAATACGGGTAAACAACATTATTCACTTTTTTTCTACCTTTCAACAAAGACATGCGTAAAAGGGATTACATATATCACTCCAGATAAGAAAATATTTATTTCTTGGGTCAACATGCATTCTTGTACTGTCTTCTACAGGAATATAGAGTAAGACACGTAAAACCACAGCATCAAATCAACGCAGTTAATGTCAATTCTAACATACTCAGCATCATGGGAGAAGCTAGGCATCTTGTAAGAAAAGTTGTGTTATGCATGAAATCAACACTATGTAAAAGTTAAACATTTGTATCAGACGTCTTTTCGAGGACAAACAAGAATTCCTAAATGCTGCTAGTTTATGGATACTGAAGCAAACTGCCTTTTTTTTGGGTCAGATGATGCCAAGTGGCTCGAGGGAATTAATGTGCAAGTTACACTTTACTTACTGGATGAATGCGAAGTTCTTGCACATTAAACAACACAATCGCCTAAGAACGCGAAACTTTAAACAGAGAAGAAAAATACTACTGGAAGCAAGCAAATCTGTAGAGAAACTGTTACCCAAATTCAAACCTGGCTCAGAATTATTCAACAATAGCTTTTTTAACTCCTGCACATCAAACAACCAACGCTTTTCAGCTCAATTTCGAAAATAAATAGGATTCAAAGCCAATTCAACTTAGAAATCACAAAGGCCACCAAAATTGGACAAACGCGCACACATACATACACAGAGTGAAGAATTCAACGAACCCTAATCGATGTGAAAAAGAAAAAAAACAATTAGCTAATCTATCAGCCGCGAACGAGCTTACATCTTCAAGATGCGGGAGCGGGCGACGGCGACGGAAGCTGAAGGCCGCGCGTGGAGTTGGTGAGAGCCCAATTGAGAAGATAGACAGCACAGATGAGTGGGGATTAGACGATTGGTAGGGGAAAATGTGGAATTGAGCTCAGAGCTCAAAAAGCCCTAATTTTTAGATTCGACCACCGTGCATTGCACAGCAGTACCATAACACTATAACAGATGAAGTCATCAAACGATGTTTGTTTTGTTTCTCACAGTCTCGCTCTTCTCTTCGTTTTATTTTATATATTTTTTAATTTTAAAATCAAAAATTATTAAATTTATTTTTCGTTTCTCACTGTCTAGCATGTATGTGAAAATATAATTTTGTTGACAAAAAATTATTTGTTATGGTTACAAATAATATCAAAACAATAACAGTTTGTAGTCTAACGTGCGTTACACACGAGATGTTTCAAATTGTGTTTTTATAAATAAATTAAAAATATAAAATAGTAATGTTACAAAAAAAAAAAAAAAAAATCATAATATATTCAAAATTTGCATTGTTACATAAAGTACAAAATATTTTTCAATTTATATTTCCAAAGTGACAAGTGTCTAATATATTAGGTTGGGCTTTAACCCGATCTCAATTTTTATGTGCTCTAAAAGCATGTGTTTCGTTGCACACCTTGATAACACATATACATAGATAGAATTGGATGTTAGATATCAACCACAATAAAACGATTAGGAAAAAGCTACTTGTATAATTTTTTTGTACAACATTCAATGACAACATGATGTGGCATAATGTGAGTGGTTGAGATGCAATTAAATGACGGTCTAACCGTTTATGAAAACATCAAATTGTTTAATTTCCTACCAGCAAATTTAAGCATGAGAATAGGTTAGCATATTATGTAAGAAGGATCAATGGTCCGTATGAAGAGGTCTGCATAGTGGTTAAATAGGAAAGAGGATAAATGTATTTTATTCATGAATTTTCCGATGTCCATTCTTAAGCCTTAAGGGTTGAATTTATACACTGGAAAAGTAGGAAAACAATGATGACTACATGTTAACTAAGGGTGTGGAGTGACTCGCGTTCCCATGCAAAACTCGACTTATGATGATGGGATTGGTTGGACGGTCCCTTTACCGATTTGCTTTCCGATTCTTGTTCACACTAAAGAGAAATCGACAAAAGATAGCACAATGTGCTAGCTCGTAGATCGAGACTTTAGGCTTGGGGGGAGATCGACATAAGACTAGCCATGTAGATTCATGGGCTTGTCCTTTTATAATATGGGCCTAAATCGAGATGAGTCCAATTTCCGTCGCGAGTGACGTATCTCTTTTGTTTAATGGGCCGGCCTTGGGTATATGTGTATAATTTATGCAGAACAAGGAGGCCCTCAGGTTTCTGGGTGCATGGGGGTCGCCTTATCGGCATGCGCCTGAAAGTTGTTTTCCAAGTCATTGAACTCCTAGCGATTCCTTTTGTATGAAATCGTCAACAAGGACTTTCAAGTCTTCCACAAGGAGAACAATATTGGTTATACGTTTTGGCAAAGGATAAGACATGGTAAAGTGCCCTTTTCGGCTAAAATACGTAATGAAGAAAGAGGTGACATGACTTTTTTCTTTATTTACAGTTGCGGCTTTTCAAAAATAAAAGGACATGTGTTACATTAGTGCAGGAAGGTGTCAACTTCTGAATGTTCCAGACATAGAATAGTGATGGTTGCACCTTTTGGCAGAGGATAAGACATCGTAAGTGCCTTTCAACTAAAACATTTAATGAAGAGAGATAGGACGTTTTTTTTATAGGTATGCCTTTTCAGGAATAAAAGAACATGTGCCAGCGCTGGAAGGTGTCAACGCACATACTGCAAGCGTTTCTAAACCCGAAGAATTCTCCGATCCTGCTCAGGAAGATCTTGTCATGCACAAATATGTCATCGAGAAAGGTCATCAAGAAATATCATACTCAGGTTGAAAAGTTGAAGGTGTTGGAACATCGATCTCAGGAGCACGTAAAGGAAATCACCTACTTGAGGGATGAACTTCAAAAGACCTGTGTAATGAATGGTGAACTCAATGAAAACCTCATGAAGTCCAATGTCCATGCCAACAAGCAAGAGCGTGATCTCAATGAATGCTTGGCCAAGCTTGTCTTGTTGGATCAGACAGACAAATTGAACAAGCATGTAAGTAACGAAAAGGATTTTATGATTAAATATTTACATAATAAGATGTTTACCTTGCATAATGCACTAAGTGAAATGAATGTTGAGATTGTCGCCTTGAAGGATGAAATTGGCCGAGAGATGTTAGACGTGTGACCTTGCAAGATCATTGTGCCATTGTAGAGAAGCGAAAGAGTGAAGAGGCGGGGTGGGGCTGGCTGAAGTCTGCCAAAGCCCGCCAATTTGCGGGAAGCAAAGTGGGTTGGCTCGTCATCCTAGCAGGCCTATGAAATTGTAGCCCAACCCGCCCCAGCCTCGCACCGCGGTTTGGCGATCCAGGCCCACCATTTTTTTTTTGAAAAAAAATGATTTAACTTCAGTGAAATTGAAAAAGGGGAGTGAGAAAAAAAAGAAAACGAAAACATTGCAAAGCAGAAGGCATCACCCTAGCTAAATTTTTCTCATTCTGCAGCTCCACAACGAGTGGCTCAAAAAGGCAAATGTCAGCAAGATTTTCAAAGTCTAACCCAGAATAGCCACAAAACTAACCCACCATATTTCGAATTAGGCACAAAATTTGAACAAAACTCACCATCTAACACGAAAAACCATAATATCAACATATCAACATAACTTGTTCAGAGAAAAACAAGTCAAAAAATATCCCAAAGAAAAAATGATCTGACAAATCGGTGAAGAACGGCGAGGGCAGAGCACGGAGGGTGCTCGACGAGGGTAGAGCACGGAGGGCCCACGACGAGGGCGAAGAAGGGAGGGTGGAGGACGGAGGGTGTACGGGGAGAGATTTACACTGTCGGCAAAGTTGTCACCTGCAGGTAAGCTCGACTGAGGGGCGGAGGGTGGCGAACGGCGAAGGAGGAGGGCAACGAATTGGTGGAGTCGATTTATTGTAAACTAGAGTTGGGATGATTAGGGTTTAGTGTAGGATAGAGGAGTTGCGCATATGAGAATGACTGAAAAGTGAACAAGGAGAAGGTCTTTTAATTTTATTTTATTTTTTTGTTTTAAATAAATGATGGGTCAGCTCGCAGACTAGCCCGCCTCGCCCCGCCCTAGCCCGCGGCCCGCACAAGCTGGCCCGTTTAGGCCAGCTTCCCAATGGGCCGGCCCGCGGGCTTAAGCTCATTTTGACAGCTCTATACAAGATAAAATATTCTAATTGAATGTCAAATAGGGAGATTTTACGATATATTTTTGGCAAAAGTTTTAAAAAGTATATCTTGATGGTTTCTTGCAAGCAAATGAATTAAAAGGGATGATCTATTCTCTCTTTTTTTTTTTATTTATTTAAGTATAGATTTTGTAGTAATTCGTTTGGGGTGTGTGTGTATTGGTATCGATTAGATTGCGTATATATTTGATATATCTCTTTTTATAATAATCATTTTCATTTTCTTATAAAGGATCATGCATCATTGGAAATAAGAAATTGTCGTGATCCATGTATTCCGTGTTTGATATATTGAAGATTATGTCCAAGTCTGTGAAACAATGCAAGAAAGGAAATCGACTCTAAAACGAAAGGATAAACTTTTGAAAACTTCTTACTTTGAGGATAATGTATATAAGCCTACTCGAAGACTCAATTGAAAGTTGTTGCATTAATCGAGTTAATTGTATTCCAAACTTTATTGAGTGTTTTTGAGCTTTTTGTTTTTATTCATTGATAGTGTTCTTACCTGAAGAATTGGGGTTGTTCTTTATTAAAATTTTAGCGCCCGGAGCACTACTACTCTTGTGGGTCATTGCCACAAGAAACATACCACCTCTGAGCTCTATTACACGGGATCCAAGTATTATACATTTCAAAATTAAAACAAGAATCCATAAAATACACCTTATTCAAGACATTGGACATACTCTTACACACTTCATTTGCATCTTTTTGAAGCTAAAAAATACACGATAAAACATCAAAGCTCCACGAGTCCTAGAGAAACTACGTGTCAACAACAAAAATGTGTCACCACACTTAAATAAACCGATGCCAAATAACTCGGGCATCCAACAAACCCAGTGACAGAACATAAAAATACGTCAAAATCCACGATCATCCAATACTTGATATAT